ATCCTTATTGGCAATCCGCTACTACTGTCTCAGGCTCAACAGGCCCTTAACTAAGGAAACTCACCAGGCCACCTCCTTTCCCCCTTAGGACAGAGGGTGATCATACCACCGCTAAGACCAAAACCATTACTGGAATCCTATACTTTAATCTGTGGTCCACTACTGAGCACACAACTCATTTTCTAAGTATTCAAACGCATTCTCATTTGAAACAATGTTCTCCATATTGTATTCTCCTAACAAATTATCCTAAAAAAAATTCACATTGTGCGGCTGCATTTATCTGCACTTACTGTGACTAACATGCCTATTCTTTGATAACTACTGTAACGGACCGTTTTGCACAAAAGGGAAAAAAAACGCTTAGACGATAATCCCCTTTCAGAGACAGGCACAGCTACTGTAGAATCACCAAAACTCACGAACTGAATACAAGTGAATGCTCCAAACTCTCGAACTGCATACAAGTGAATGCTCCAAACTCCCGAACGGCATACAAGGGAATAAGGTAGCACTCCAAATACACGAACAGGAACCATACGAATTGCTGCTACCAGACGAACAGGAAAAGCTCCCAAGCGGCTTACACTCCTGGCAATCAGTCCTTAGCAGCATACAGTAAATCCCCCCAAAGACGAGACAAGGCTCCGTGTTGAGGGTCAAGCAGTGGTCTGTTTAATGAGGGCTACCTGCCCAGTATTTATGCAGGTCTCCCACCTGGTGGACACTCCCCTAGGGGACCAAATGGGAGACTGTGACAAGGGACAGACAAGTAGACAAATAGGACACACAGTCACAGTATATTCCCACAATGCATCCTGGCTTCCTCCCCTCTGCCCTGGGAGATAATTGAGAAGTAACTCAATTATCTCCCAAGACAAAGGCAAAACTCCATTACACATGTGGGGACACAAAACCAGTATTATACTTTAAAATACATAAAGTAACATTTATTACATAAAACACAGACATGTAACATATCCCCAGATAGCTCAGGTCTGAGCGCACATTATTAAGCGAATACAGTTTAATCGCCATGGAGCCAAAGTCTTTACAGTCAGTTTCATACGAATGGGCTCCATGGGATTCCTATCTGGGGTATAACACATTCAACCAAAACTACCGAACACCGGGCCGTTCGTGCACTTCCACCGAACAAGAAGGGAGGTCGGCGGCTTCAGCGGTGTTCGCGCAAAACTGTGTCCGATTTTAGTTCCATGAAAATAGGGGCGAACACCGCTGTGCATTCGTATGTTTAAAATGGCCGCGACCTCGTGTTCGGGATACGAATGGCGGCCACCCAGCATTCATCAATTAAGCTGCGGTTAACCGAAAATGTCATTACAGTGTAGAGGTTTTGGTGGTAGTTGTGATTGTGCCTTGATTTTATTAAGACACGGAGGCTCCTACTATGCTGCACTCTTTCTTTATTTCCCTCAGCAGCAAAGAAAAATATAACATTCAAACGGTATGATAACAATAAATAGCATGAGAGGTATATCTTCCTAGCGACAGGAACAGCCAATCAGATTCCACTCTCCAGCATAATAGGCGATGATGCGTAATCTATGTGGTTGTTGTGAGTGTGCCTTGATTCTAGCTTATAATTAGGGAACCATAATGACAACAATAAAAATGTATTTGATCTCTATACACTTTGTATCTAGATATATAAATGGCAGATAATATTAGATATTCTGGTCAGTTATGTGTTAAGAAATGCTCGGAGCCAATATTATCACAACCCATTATAATTATGCACTGATAACTGTTTGAGTGACAATTATACCAATAAATAAATACTTTCCTTTAGGTAATAGGTAATCTCCTTGATGTAATAGGTCTGTGGTCTCTGGTTTCTTGCTCATACACATTAGCGTACAATCCTGGAAAGGTCCGGCTTAGATGTATTTGGAATAAAGCCTGAACAGCTCCTGCATTAAAGGATCACTATAGGGTCAGGAACACAAACATGTATTCCTGACCCTATAGGGAAAACCCACCACATTTAGGTGGCTTGCCCCCCTCTTAGCCCCCTCAGAATGGGTTAAAACTTACCTTATTTTCAGCTCTCCATGGTTCTGCCGGCACTGACCCCGCCCCCTTGGTGACATCATCAAAATTGCAGATTTTTACCCAATCCAATGCTTTCCCTTGGGGAAAGCATTGGATTGGCTAAAATCAGCAATGGGGCATTGCCAAATGCCGTTTTGTCCAATCAGCACCTCCTCATAGATATGCATTGAATCAATGCATCTCTATGAGGAAAATGCAGCGTCCCCATGCAGAGCGTGGGGATGCTGAATGGCAGGGCTGCTTACTGTGCAGCCCTGAGCCAGGAAGCACCTACAGTGGCCAGCTGAGGAGTTGCCACTTGGAGGTGTTCCTAGGGGCAATGTAAACACTGCCTTTTCACTGAATACTACTCAGGTTACCATAAACTAAAGCTGTGCTGCAACAGTAGCAATGGTAAACCTAAACTGACAATTTTAGTGAGCAGTATATAACTATGAACATTTATAAAATATCAATTGGTATCTTTTATTTATAACCAAGTCAGCTCACAACTGAGCATTATCTTCCAGATCATGTCCATGGATATTCCAAACTTATGTGTACCGGGGATGTAGTCTGTTCTCAATGCTAAATAATTGACTATTTCACCAGGCTACGAAACCAGGATTTCTAAATCTCTTATAAACACTTAAAGCAGTTCCTTGCAACTTTGTTAGGGTCCCGGAACAATGTAATTTTCGGTAGGTAAATAGCTAGGCCTTATATCAAATAATTAGCAGATAATGTTTTAGTGTGATTTTGCACCACTAAATAAGCCCAAACTTGCTAGAATGCTTTGAGTGTCCCTTTAAGACAATGCAAAAAAAAAACAATCAAAGAAAGATTGTAATAAAGGATTGCAATGTATCAAAATCCCTCAGGTGGCAGTTCCACTTTTATTCGCCCATTCAAATGCACTTTTATCTGATGACTGAGTGTATGAAACTACAAATTCATCCTTATTTAATACAACGTTTAAATGTAAAAAAGGAACTTTAATGTAAAAGATCTTTTTTTACTTCATTGTAAAAAATATCCTGTTAAAAAAAAAGCCTGGGCAAAGGGAGAATAATTTATTCATTGCAGGCTGTAGAAAAGAGAGGTTAAATGTCTGATCTCCATGGACAAATTTATCAAAAGGACAAATTTATAGCAAGATTCTTTAATGTCATCTTTCAGAGTCGATGTTAAAAAAATAATCCTGTGCAAAGCTGGGAATGAACAGACATTCTACATGGGAAACTATATCACAGCATCGTGAAAACACAGTTTGGCATCTTTTTGGAATGTATTCAGATGATCAGCAACATTTGATTGTACATGTATTTTAATGAAATAATGCTTCTTTCGCATAACGTTTTAATTAAAAGTTAGATCATTTAAATCAAGGAGTCAACTGTTGGACTGACTGGTCACACTGATTCAAAGCTCCGGACAATATTCACTTAGAATTAGGCAATTTTACTTTTGACCTGTTCTCCAGTCCAAAAGCCCTTCACAGGAAAACATGTTATTAGAAATGTACATCAGTGGCCTCCTAAGAGTAAGCTCCTAGTGAGCCAGATCCACATGCAACAATGGGTTTTGACTTAGAGTCAGATACTCTCAATACCGTCAACGAGACCCCTTGGAAAAAAAAGGCAAGCATTAGAGGTTCTCAGATGAGGATGAAGATTCTCCTGCAACTAGGTGACAGAAAGGCACTTGTGACAAAAATCAAGTTTCTCTTCAAGTGGAGATTTCAATCATACAAGAAGAGATCCATGATTTGGAGACCAGAAGTCGAAGAAGACAGACTGGGCCTGGTTGCCAAATTTGCACTAGGTACTTGCAAACTATATGGTGCACAAATGAATAGAGAGGGTAACAGAAGTAAATAGAATGCAAATCATGGGTCTACCTAGTAGCATAGTAACAAATGAGTAACCATTACTGCCAAACGTTCTCTTACTTTCTACCTTTATCTTTCTTTATAATGCCAATGTAGATAATATTAGATAAGCATTTCTCATGAGCGACTCATCAGACCTTTGGGTTCATATACGTCTGTGATCTAATTAGTTCCGTCCATGTAATATTTGTTTTTATTTTTTCTTGAAATTGGTTGGTAATTTATCCTTAAATCACATATAGTTAGAGCTTTAGTGATTCATAAAAATCTGTCTTTTGCATCATGCAATTTACTTATCGTAAAGTGTGCAGTTCAGAAATGCTTTTGGTATTGTTTATACATTACTCTAAAAAGTACAGACTTGAAAAACTTACGACATTATGCTTATGATAAAGAAAATCACCCTGACTGTCCTTTATTCAAAAATGGATCTTTGATAAGAACTTGAAAAAAAAATTAATGTGAATATTTGAATGTAGTAGATGGAAGGGAAATTATTTTCTAATCTTAATTTATACCATGTAGAGCTATCACAAATGTCATTGAACACTCAATGGAATAACTGTTATAATATACTCAAAGGTTGTTGTACTACACGGACATGACTGCACACTGAAGGGTGAGATTTTATTAGTTATAGAAAGGCTAAGATTCTTAACTTGAACTTGTTGAAATTTTCAAATGCAAATTAGGTTTTCTCTCTTTAGATACAAGGACTCATTTTTTTCTAGAAAGATGTTCAGATAAGTTTTACAACACTAAGTATATGTTCTTGAAAAAAAAATTGGAAAAAACAAATGTGTTAATACACTAATACCGTGACATAAAATAAGATGCATATTTCTTTTTTTTTATATTTGTACTTTATTGTATTTTGACACGCATGTTTATATCCATAACATTATATGAAAACAGCATAACAAAAGCAAACATTAGGAAGGAGTACATTGCTTGACTATGTATACAGTGATAGAATACAACATATAAAACATCAGGACATTTGGGGCGATATTCACTTTTGCTGTTGCTGCTTAGCGTCCAGGGGGCAAGTGATCTATTTTACTCTGATAGGTGGGAGCCTCTGGGCAGCTAAGGTGGGTAGGGTTTCTTTGTGTGATACATAGAGAGGTGAAACTAAACCAGGGGCACTGGGTCGAGCCATAACATTGTCTCTTGCTGTGACATCTTTAGTTACGATGATCGTGTCTCTTGGTGCTCGGTCTTTTCGGACTCTAAACACCGATATCACAGGTGAGGGGTCAGCTCCACCTATAAGGCCCATTTTGGCAATCAACCTCCGAATAAAGTGTAGTAGATCCTCACCACCAACTCTCTCAGGGATACCTCTCAGCCGGATATTCATTCTTCTGTGTCTTGACTCCAGCACAGTCACTCTTCTGCACTTGGTGAGAGAGGCTGCCCATTTGGCTTTGTGTGGCCTGTATCTGACCATCCCTAGTCTTTTCCCTCTCTTCAGTGGCATTGAGCCTGTGCTGGATAGCCCTCATCTCGTTCAGGTCTGATTTCCACACCTGCCTTAGGTCCATGAGAAATTTTTTAATATCCCCTTTTGTAGAGGGGGGAGAGTCCTTATCCATCTCTGACTCTCTGTTTGCACTATCGGAATTCATTAGAGGCTTGAAACTCATTGTTCTCATGGGACTCTTCTGAGTTTTCAGGTGCTTGCTGTGCCACTGGCGCCATATTGGGAGGTATGCTCACCACCGGACTTTCAAATTAAAACCTGAGTCCTCCAGCCATCGGATTTTTTCATTTTGTGCCCCATACCTTCTGCTGGAGGATGGGGTGTTGCAAATATAGGGTAAGTGCATGACTCTGTCGGAGCTTTGTTAAAATGTGTCTGGTACCATTGTCATGGACAAAATATTAGAATTAGTAAAATGTCTATTTACTCTGTGTATGTGTGCTCATTATTCACTGTGTCAACCTCGCTGTTAGAATAACTGCTTCCCCTCCTACCCCTCCCCTCCTGTGTTCAGTAGCTGCTTCCCCTCTAACCCCTCTCTTCCTTTGTTCAGTAACTGCTCCATCTACCACTACCTTGTGTAACAAGATGTGTAACAAGATGGTTCTGGAATGTGTAGGAGAGCGCCATGTTAGTAATGACATCACGCCCAGTAGGATGGAATTAGATGAGACTCCTTAAAGTGTAACAAATTGTTGATGTATTTTCCCTGTTATTGATAATTATGCATGTGACATATTTCTGTCTTCATAAGGGGCTCCCCGCCCCCTAATTAAACATTCCTGAAGTTTTTCATGAACCTGAAACTTGTGTCCGGTGTGAAATTACTCTAGGAAGCGTGCACGCACTCAATTTCAATAATTTGGAACAGGAGCAGATAGTCAAATAATCAAACACGTGATTTGATCTATAACACCATTAGCTGTCGGCCATGCCCCCCATAAGATGCATATTTCAACATGTTGGAGGATATTTGCTATGATTCTCTAATGAACTTTTCTAGAATGGAACAGTTGACCATGAATGCATTTTGTCATGAAAGGTAATATTGCAAGAGGTATGCAAATTTATTCAGGGTTATTCTATGTGTATTGTCAGGAACTCAACCACAGAGTTTCACATATAGCTGACTATGTTTTTACAATTGTGCTACTTTGTCATAGAATTTGCAATTCCCTTGTGAAACCCCAACTAATTCATAATGAATAACCCAATTATGTTTTTCTTGCATCAAAATTCATCCAATATTCCTCAGGGCTTTCAAATAATAACACTTTAAATGGAAATGCTACAAGTATTCATTTAAAGCACACCTTTAGGGTCCCCTTCTACTTTTGTACACCCCAACTCTACTTATGCATCCCTCTGGCTAAAATCCAATCTATTATTAATTAGTAAATGTGTGAGTGCTAGATAAGCAGTGGTAAATAAATACATTTGATGTAATTACCTTTGTGCTAGGAGTTCCTTGATTTTTGGGAGAGAGACCGCAACCACTTACACATCTATAGGGCTCCCACCTCTCAGTGCCCGGACTGCCACCTCAACCACTTACACATCTGTAGGGCTCCCGCCTCCCAGTGCACAGACTGCCACCTCAACCACTTACAAATCTGTAGGGCTCTTGCCTCCCAGTGCACAAACTGCCACCACATCCACTTACACATCTATAGGGCTCCTGCCTTTCAGTGCAAGGACTGCCACCACAACCACTTACACATTTAAAGTACTTTGGTCTCCCAGTGCCAGGACTGCCGCCACAGCCACTTACACATCTGAAAGGCTTCTGCCTCCCAGTGCCAGGACTGCCACCACAACCACTTACACTTCTATAGGGCTCCCAGTGCCCAGACTGCCACCACAACAAGTTACACATCTGTAGATCTCCCAGTGCAAGGATTGCCACCACAATCACACATCTATAGGGCTCACAGTGCCTGGACTGCCACCACAACCACTTACACATCTATAGGGCTCCCACCTCCCAGTGCCAGGACTGCCACCACAACCACTTACACATCTGTAGGGCTCCCAGTGCCAGGATTGCCACCACAATCACTTACACATCTTTATTGATCAAGATTCCTGGCATCATTCACGCAATTGTCCCATTCTCTCTCTTGTTTTGCCACTTTTCAGAAATCTGATGCACTTTGGAACTTCCGTAATTTGGAACTTCGGCACTTTGGACATTCATAAGCATCTGAGTGTCTGAATTGCACGAAATTTGTCAGAATATACATTCGGAATGAAATGAATTGCACATGTCTAGGTTTCACAAACCTTTAGAACTTTTACATTCAGTTCCACCATATGGTCATATTGTGTAAGGCCACCACTATGTCAAAGTACCCCGATATTGGAGGGTCCTACGCTAATTTTAACATGGGAGATTTACATGCTAACTTGCAATACTTACTTGCAGAATAAACTGCTTCAAGAGACTTCTCAATATAAGGTTTCCTGTGGTCTCCTCCAAAGGGCACCCATAGTGGATGGGTGGGGTGCTCAGCCCAATTCCCATTTCTTCTGTGTAGATTTAGACCAGATTCCTATTGGGCTGAGCATCCCACCCATCCACTATAGGTCTTTTGAAGCAGTTTATACTGCAAGTAAGTATTGCAAGTAGCTCAGTACCCTCCAGTGCCCTTTTTGTCCCTTCATTCCTGTACCTTCTTTAGCCTCCTTCCTCTCCTTTGCCTACTTTAGCCTCTGCCCCTTCTGTGCATTTCAGTCTCCCCCTCCTCTCCTGTACCTTTCTTTAGCCCCTTTCACCGCCTGTGCCCTTCTTTGCCCCAGCTCCTCTCCTGTGCCCTAATTAGCTCCTCTCCTTCTGTGCACTTATTTTGCCCCCTCCTGTCCCCTCTTTAGCCCCCTCCCCTCCTGTGCCCCCCTCCTCTCTTGTGCCATTTTTTAGCCACAGTCCACCTGCTTGACACGTTACATTGAGTGACCAGCAGGAGGGGAGTACTCTCCCCTCCTGTTGGTCACCGGGAGATGGCGCCTCTTCCCTGGGGAACAACTTAATGAGTGGCACCCAGGGCAGAACGTCCCACTCCTCAGTACGCCACTGTAGAGGCATTTCTGATGAAGTGCTGTTAAATCATGAAATGCATTAGATGGTATGCGGTGCTCACCCCATGTTCTTTCGGCCGTACTCTGTACATAAATCAAGGCATTTTATTTTAAGTAAATAAAGACATCTCTTTCAGATTAAAGGGAAACTCCAGTGCCAGGAAAACAATCCGTTTTCCTGGCATTGCAGGTCCCCTCTCCCTCCCACCCCCCCAATCCCAGGTTGCTGAAGGGATAAAAACACCTTCAGTAACTTACCAGAGGCAGGGTCATGTCCCACGTCGCTGCTTCTTCCTCCGCCACCGCTCCTCCCAGTGATTGCATCGGCTGGTTGGCGAGACTGATCCCGCCCACCAGCCGGGGAGACCTAATGCTCATGCACGGCGTGAGGACGTCCAGCGATGCTCTAGCACAAGTTTCCTGTGCTAGGGACACGGAAGTGCCCTCTAGTGGCTGTCTACTAGACAGCCACTAGAGGTGGAGTTAACCCTGCAAGGTAATTATTGCAGTTTATGAAAACTGCAATAATTACATTTGCAGGGTTAAGGGTAGTGGGAGGTGGCACCCAGACCACTCCAATGGGCAGAAGTCGTCTGGGTGCCTGGAGTGTCTCTTTAAAGAAGTGCTAGTTTGTCTTTATCTAGATTACTGAGTCATATTGTTTCTTTAAGTTTTTTGGCTAGTAATTTATATTTTCAAGAGTAATATTTTCGACTCTCTGCAATAAAATAGTTCAGTGATCTTTGCATTGTTGGGTTTATTAAAACTCCATTTCATTATTGTTTTAAATAATCTTTGAGAAAATTCTTCACACGATTGTTGCTCCTCTTTATTTCTAATCTACAGATCTGTATTATTTACAGAAACTATTTTGATTTGATACATATTAATACTTATTCAAAATTATTAAAATCAAATAATCTAATATTTTCTTGGTTTGAACTAGACTGGCATTTGCTAATATTATCAAACTGTATGAGAATGACAACGCCCAAGGCATAAAATAGAAATACAAGCTATGGAATAAATAAATCAGAACAGAAGGGGGAAAGGGAAGCAATTTTAAATAAATGCCACTTCTGTGCGATGCTTCGTGTTATAAATAGGACAGTAATATTAAATATCATAAAAGCAATGAAATATTAATCTATGAAGAATTTAGAGTGTTTATGGTTTAATGATAAATACGGAAAGAAAAAGCAGCAGCGTTCGGGACACAATTCAGAATTTAAAAGAAGCCTTCCCTTTAAAAATACAATCAAAGGATCATTAATCACCTTTTATAATTAGGATGTTAAATGGCAAATGCTGATCTTTTCTCTTTCACAATATAGGGGTTCACTGCACTAGCGTGCGTCACGGAAAACAGAAATAAAAACTTAGTTTACAAGAAGGCATGGATTTACTAAACCAATTGGAGAGATTTATAAATCATTAGATACGTGGGACTCCACTCTGTCAGCTAGGGCAAGAATTAGTGGACACATGCTGACAGGTGAAAGTGAGCCTTGCACTCAGCTCTTTACATTAGATTTAAATCACTGATGGTACAACTAAGTGTAAGCAGGGTTAAATCCCCATTGACAGCATGGAAGTGTGAGCAGGGTTAAATCTCTGTTGAGACCAGGGAGATTTAGGTATCAATTGATATCAATCAATAACAGGGACTCTCCTCTGCAGCTGGGGCTATTTTTAGTGCTCCCAGACCTACAGATTAGGTGCATGCAGCTCTTTAAGTGAGTACTGCATGCATCCCTTAAAATTAATTTAGATCACCGTGACTGAACGTAATCGTGATTCTGGGCTGGCAGCTATTGGATTAGGGCTATGTTCAGATTAGGATTAGTATCATCAAGGGGAACTCTCTACTGAAATCATCAGACAGAATACTT